GTATTGTTATGCAGTTAACTGTAAAAGTTTCCTTTCTTACTGTTCCTTAGAAGTATTTTTTAATAAATATTTCTAATCCTCTTACTGTTACTGTCATTGCACAAACATTCCTGAGTTGTGTTTGTTAAGAAGCTCCTGCTCAATCGTTTTTTTCGTGGATATTCTGGGTATGATTGTTATTGTAGGATAGTAATGAAAGATATGGACTTGGAAATGTCGACAACCTAAGCATAGCAATGAGTGAGGAAAGTGCTGATACAATTATTTTTAATAATGTTGCGATGTTCACAAGCAATTCTGGTATTCATCAGGCTTATATCCATACAGCGACTGTCTCATTAGATCATGCCGAGGAAGAGTTCAACCAGGTTATGCTTTAACGCTGAATATTTCTGGCTTTTGACGAGTTTCGAAAACTTTTATGCTCCATTTCATGTGGTCAAGCCCTTTCCTTACCATTGTGCTCCTATGATGTTATTTCTTGCATTAAAAATATATTATCATGATGAGCGGTATACCGAATTAGCCAATTATTAATTTTTTTTTTTTGAAGAATTCTACTGCTCGTCATGCATTGTATTGTCCGTCCGCAGATGCAAGACAAAAAACGCTTGTCAGTGAAAGATTTACAATGAAATGGGTATCACAAATCAAAAATCAAGTGACGAGAACTTTGTTCAATTCCAAATCTTCCTCATCACTTTCAACGTAAGTTCCTTAAATGAACTAGCATAATGTTTTAGAGTGGTAAACAAATGAACTGGATAATTACCGTCTATGAAGACATGTTTATTTTATTACTTAAAGCAACTTTTAAAATATAAATTACTCTCAAAAAATAAATCCATAATCAGTACTCTCCTACAAGTGAACAAAGATTACTTCGTTATCAGCCTAGTAAACTGTTGCTGCATCTTTCAATAAATCTAATCCATCCAGAAAAACGCTACTGGATGCGAAGGATTATTTTTAGCACGTCATCGGTGGAAGTTTCAAGTTCAAAAGCGCCGGCAACTCAGTCTGCTGGGCTGAATATCCCGGCTGTGACCCGACATGGAAGAACCTCTAGAAATGAGAACAATTCGAAACAAAATTTCATGACTTCAACAGCTTTTAACGGTCAAAGGTTATATATTTATTTCATTGTAATGTATATTGTTGGCATTTTTTGCAGCTGCGCCATTCTAAAATTTCTTAAGCGATGAAAGTGTCAGTCGCCTTTATCTATCTAGTTTTAACTGTGTCGCCAATTTCCTCCGACCGTGACAAAAACTGAGGGTTCTTTCTGTTTCTTTAGTTGGTAGTATCTCAAACTTGGGTAATTAAACCTTTATTAATATGAGTTGACTAATATAGAAACGAATTCAAAAATTATAATATCAATATGAATAAAGGGGGACCAAAAACCAAATGGCGTTCGTTATCGTCTTCCCAACCGACCTGTTGGAACACGTCTTTCGAAAATGATTTAGCGCTCGGAACCTTTTTCTTTGAATTGAGCGGATCCTTGGATAGTTTTGAGGTCACTTCTGAGGTCACAAGAGTTATTATGATAGAACATAAAACAGTGGATACACAATATTAGTTTACATTACACAGTATCTATATATACAATACATTATACCAACAGTATCAAAGCAATTAATAATTCACTGCTTCTCCTCGCGATTTCAGCGACAAACTGGGACCAATATAAAAGAAAGTGAATTATTGAACACGGAAAAATATTTTGTCCGTTTTCTTTAGAAAAGGAAAGAAGACTACTTTCTATGCCTCATGAGGTAATTAATCATCGATTCCTTGCCTTCTCTGTGTAATTGAAAACATTAAGTATATTTCAGATCACGTAAATTATCTTTCTCGAGTTTGAATATTAAAAGAGATAACGTTATGCAGTTTTTTTCACCCTTCACTTTACTTCGACGGAAACGTAAGCAGACGAAAGCTGAACGAAGAGCACATAAAGCATTCAGGACAATTACCTTCATTGTTGGGTGTTTTGCCATCCTATGGTCACCCTATTACGTTGTGGTTAGTTTTCCATTTATTAGCTCGCAAACTTTTGTAATGAAATAGTTTGATGGGAAAAATGTCGGACATTTCAGGTTAGGAAGTTGCTGGGTTACACAAACATTTGGTTTTCAGGCAACTGTATATGGATTTTGTCGGCACTGTATACCGTCACTACTGTACACACTCACTTACTACATGTGCTATCTTAATTCGAGTAGCAATCCTTTCGCATATGCTTTGGCCAACCGCCAGTTTCGTGTCGCCTTCTTGCGTATGTTGCGCAGAGACTTCAATAAAAATTCCTAAACTGAAATTTAAACAAAGCAAATCTTTACAGTATTGTTTCTGAAGCTGTATTGCCCAGAGTTTAAAACTAGGACTCTAATCTAGGGTTTCTTTTTCAGTGTAAGGGTAGCTGTACGTTGAATCAATCTTTTTTGAAAAAAAAAAACTACAGCGTCAAAATGTTGCCCTTTTCATACTGTCCAAAGGTCCACTAACAACAGCAGTCTCAATTGAACCATGATTAGAAGAAAGATTAACAAAAAGATTCCCTGAAGATTCATTAACGCAAAACTGTCAAGCTTACGCATAAACCTTTTCGGGTCTAAAAATTCATAAACAAGTTTACAATTCCTCTATTCTTTGCTGTGTATTACACCAACTACATAAATATTCCACGTGCCACAAGAGCGGTAGTTGTTATGGAAGAATAAAATGATTAATTTCTATTAATTTCAGAATAAAAGACAACAATTTAGATTTGCATGTACAATGCCTCCAATTCTGTTAACGGATTGTGAGGGTACGTCCAGAGAGACGGTTACTATTTCTAAAATTTATGAATGGTTTCGCAAAGATTCACGCAGAGTAAATGCACTGTAGATGCGACAGTTTACAACGTCAAGTTTGCAGATAGTTAGATCATTTATTACTTTCCTCTGTGTATAGTAAATTGGAAATGGTAAAATCACCTTGCACTGCTTGCATCATTTGCATTAAACAATTTGCATCATTAGCTTCAGCACTCAAGATGGAAAAAGAGAATGCAGCCGATAAACAGCATGAACAAATGGAAAAAGAATAAACGATTAAGGAAGCATAAATGAGTAAATGAAATGAATTGTCACGGGTCCTAGAAGCGATAACTAGTGCATTACTGTGAGGTTGACAGGATTTCGATCGGTACTACAAGATCAAGTGGGAAACATTGAGGATTTCAACAGTAGAACTTCCCACCGCTCACTTGAAGGTGCGCCACTATCATGTGTTTAGCCTTCCAAAAAGCGGATATTTGCTGAGATTTATTCGTTGCATTTCCAATTTCTCATCTGATAATTTCTAGTGGAAATCCATCTACAGTTCATGTTACCTTTCATCCCACTAAAAATATATTCAATCAAATGCAATAAAATGTAGAACCGCAAGACGGCTAATGAAGATTATTCTCAAGTGAGTTTAGCAGCCTCAAAAAATGAAAAGATCCAATAATTCTAGAGTCACTTGGCCGAAGGTAGAACTACTTCACCATTTTTCACACGTGTATCTGAAAATGTATCTCATGCAATGACACCACCCACATTGTTGAAAAATTTCCTTTACCGCAAAATATAAAACATGTTGACGGTGTTAGTAACCGTTCTGAATGCTACGAATCTCGTCCCTAATATGCTCAGTTTCTGGCCTAGACTGTTCTTAATGTTTCCGATGCCTCCTGCATGTGTAAGATTCGATTGTTTATTCAAGCAGTTCGAGATTTATCGAACTACAAATTCAGTTAATCCTAACAAAGTTCAATATTATAGATTGTGAACAGAATCGGAAACACTCCGCTTCGAGTCTAAGATATCCAATATTATGGAATACACTCCCAAAAGTGCGATACACACTATTTTTCCACAGATATTATATTTTAAAATCTTGAAAATCATACACGTAAGAATTATAATTTGAGGAAGAACGTGAGATAAAACATTCAAATACGCTGTAAATTGAGCATTTGAAGAACATAAACATGATAAATCAAGCTTTGTATATTTTTACCTGTTTGCTCATTCTAAAACACCCATCAAATATGTGGCCATTTTCTAAACACTCATTATGAGTTGATCTGCTGATCGATTACATAAAATGGGTCATAAAATGGAACAATTATTTCATATATTGTCATAAACGCTGATATAGTTTCAGAAACGAAATTTTTTGACGCAGTGAAGTCAATTCATTAAAAGCAACATATGGGAATATTTTTAACAACGGTATTATAATTACTGGCTATCAAATAATTTACATCGCGCAGTCATTGAAAAAAGAAAACAATCGCAACACCCAAAGAGAATGGCATAATCGTCAACAGACAGCCAAATTGTAAACCAAAGGAAAAATACTTAACAATAGAAAATGAATTTCCAAAGAAACAGTAAACTTTACCCGCAGGTTTCCTATTTGTACGATAACAAAACAAAGTTCCCACTACTCATCAATATGACGTCGAGCACTCGATGAGTCTATCTGCAGTGGTTCTACCTCCACCCGATAAAATTTCGTTCCGACTTTCAAATTGTACCTAAAAAGGTGAAACTAACTGATATCTGGACAAAGTTACCCCTCCCTCTCATCAGAATTTTAAGATGACGATACCGTACAACGAAAACGATAAGCATACTAACCGATTATCCGTTTTACGTATTTTGCATAATTCTAGGCGAGTAGTTACTGCCATTAGCCAGTTAGGACGTTGACCAACCGCAGCGACGGCCACTGATTGCCGGTCCCACTTTACTCCTACGCGTTTCAAACTGCTTTCTTTGACAAAGTGAAATATTGGAGAAACACTGGAACATGTTTTAATTTAGAAGCAATTTCTATGCATGCAAATAAGAATCTAATTACAATTTCAAGATCATATTATACCAAACCATTTCGTTAACAGCAAATGGTTAATTATTAAAGTGAATGAATACTTAAAAACCTCACATTTGACCTGCAAGACACCTCACTGTAATGTGATAATAATATTAGCAGAAAAACGGAATATGACCATTACTCTGACAACTTCAATCAGACTGCGATGATGTAGCACCGTTAATATATCGCAAATTTAGTCGATGTAAAGTAGATGAGAAACTTTGGGCGTTTTACGGACAATAAATGTCATTAAACTTATATCTGACATATATAACATCTAGTTAGTCACATGAAAACAGGGAAAAGTGTAGTATGAAGAAATGCAAAAAAGCGAGATATAATCACTAACGAAACTGATAAAAGGAAGTGTGCTAAGTGTATGGCTAAATGACATGGACCAGAAAAACCAAATGCACACAAAAAAAAAGAAACGTTATCACATTGCGTGCGTATTTTGTATAAAAGCTGTTTTTATAGAGACAGTAGAATCAAACCATGACGATTAACTAGCCTGATTGCCCAACAGCATTTCAACAAAAAATCTAAATTTTGATCATTTGCTATGTAAACCAGATTTCGAGAATTCTTTCATAGTCGAAAATAAAAACAAACTTGCGCCTTAAAAGTTGAAATATGCATCCTTTCCAAATACGTAAAGAAGCCGTATTGTTTGACTAATTGCAAGCGTAGCTCAGTGATGTCGTTCAAATCATACTTCGGATAAAAGCATATCAGTGTTCATCACTATACAACTCTGCTTTTTAAGAAGCACTAGGATGGTAGGCAACACACACCAGCAGATAAAGTTTGATTTAATGGCCACTTTATACTAAATACTGGGCTTGTCTCTCTTTAGAGAAATGTTATAAAGAAACACTAATACATGGAAGGAAACTAACCTAAACAATATGTAGGCGTTATGTGGCTCACTCCAAACAATTAAGACAGCACAGTATTCATGAATGTCCTGCACTGTAATCATTGTTCGCATTTCTCGCAGTGATATAATTGTTTGAGCGGTAGCTGGTCTCACCGTAACTGGTGCGATATCTTCATCCGAATCTGCCTGAAAAGATATCATGATAGAAGACAACCATTAAGAACATGGTTCTTGAAAAAACCAACAAAAGTATTTCGATTACACTCCACTCTAATTCACAGAATCAAGACAGAGTGAGCATTAACCACACAACTTAAAACTTATCAACATCTTACCTGAGCTCTCAGCTCCTCATCTGTGTTTTCTTCTTTTTCCGAATCTCCTTCTTCAGTCCTCACTTCCGGAAATCCCACCATACTTGTTGCTGCTAAGAAAGAAATAATGGGAATACCTATTTACAATTGCAAGTTTCTAGCAGAACGCGGTATGAATAACAACAAGAAAGGGGTAGCGTTAGGCATTGGTATAGAAGCGGAATCTTCAGAGATTGTGGCTAAATCGTCATCTATCTATATAGCCAAAGCGTCACCATCAGACAGACGAAACTGGTTTATGAATATAATCGTGAACCCATCTTAAAAGTCCATTATAAGGACAAATGTTGCTTGCAACAAAGCTGACATCCAAGCAGACTGGACATAGCCAGCACAGATTTTGATTCACAAATTTTTAAATACATAATTATAGCAAAAGCAATGAAAAAAACCACACCATGACTAACAGTAAAAGACTTCAACAGACATCCTCTGGACAAGTCATTAGGTATCGAAGTAATAGCAGTGCCCTCCTGAGAATCAATTAACTCAGATCTGCAATGAAACAATTTTGTTGCCTCTTAAAAATAACTGAATTTTATTTTCAAATGAAAGAAATGAGTGTAAATAAACTTACACAACCGAATATCTCCTTTTCGTGTCGATTGGTACTCTGTCAAGCAAAGAGATTTCGTGAGCAGTTGTACATTTCTCCTGAAAATTTCAAATCCTCTGTTCAGAACATTAATGAAGATTTATCCTAACTTCACGTATTTCTTTGCACAAAGAGATCGAAGCATTTTTTTCTTTCCTGTGTGGATTCTGCGATAGTCATCTCAGATAATATTTTCTCATACCATACAAAAATATTGATCTTAGTCTTTTATTTTAAACTGGTCCCACGAAGCGATACAACAGAAGCGGAAAAGTACCGAAACTTCGTTTCGAAATCTTTGTTTAATAAAAATCAACACGCCGGATCTAAGTGATTTAAAAACCGAAGAGAATAAATCTTTTAATTAAAGTTGAAAACAACGGAATGGTCATGCAACAACAGAGTGATCTGTAAAGACAATAATAACTGCTCATTTCTGCAAAAAAGCTAAATTTTAAGAAAAGTGCATAACCTTGTATTCCTTTCCGCGAGTAGCCCAGGTCTTATTATCCGCAGTTGTGCCAGCGGTATTTTCAGCACTCTGGTAAAAAACACCTTCACGAAGTTTATGTAAGGCTGCCTTCAGTAAATCAATTTCCTTATTCTTTCTCTAGAACGAAGGACAGAAAACATTCTTCCAAGTCAAATAAAACAGCAATGCATTTGAAAACTCGATGGTCTCAAATTTTGTGTTGACTCATTAACCACAAAATGATGCAAATTATATGAACCTTTATTTCTTCATTATGAGACGAAACCTTACGCTCCAATGCCAACTCGTAGTCAACAACTACAGTTTTATATATTTCGCTTCTTTCGATTTCCATTCTACAAAGTGGACGCAAGAACAGCGTCATATAACGTCAGAAAATGCAATTAAAAGAGATTATTTTCATAAGTGAGAAACCATATAGAGCTAACAAAAATAAAACAGATGAAAATTAAAAAACTTTCCGGCATAAAGAAGAATAAATCACAATACATATAGACAAGAGAAAGCGTACTTAGCGACAGTATTTTCTGCACTTAACTGTTGTTCACGAAGCTGTGAAATTTCCTTCTTCTGAAGTTCAATGATTTGCCGAAGCTCGGAAACAAGAACATCTTTTCCTGGTAATTCCTCACCATCACCCTAAAAAATCACACATATGAATAATATTAATTACATAATATTCTGCTTAAAACATTCTCAGTAGAAGCAAAAAAGAACTAAATTCTAGTGTCTACGGTCAGAAACTTTCGCGAAGCAGATGGCGTTCTAATTCCACAAATTAAAATATAAATACCATTGAAAATGACTCTTCCGGTTTATTCTCTGTTTCAGTTTCAGTGACGGCGTCCTTGCAAATAGGCTTACTGGGATGACCAGAGACAGAAATTCTGTTTCTATATCCAACAAACGTAACAAACGAGTTGTTTATTCGTTCTAATGCCTCATCTGAGTATTCTTTGGTTTGATTTTCAGCAAGAACCAAATCTTGCTTCAAGTACATTAGCTGCTAAAATTATTGTATGAAATAACAAACATGAAGTAACAACCTTCATGTTTTACGACACTATACAATCTTACCTGAAAGAGTAAAAAGATGTAGAAAGCTAACCAGCGAAAGTTTCTTCAATCCATCCCGTATGCAAAGCAGACTCCCAGATTGGGATCTTCCAAAAACCTCACCAATCTGTAATGAAAATTTTTTACACTGCATAAGATTCCATGTTTTGATTATTACACGAACTGTTATTAACATAATGCTCAAAGAACGTTCTTAGCATAAACAAAATAACTGGAGTTTAAATAATTTAAAATGTGAGCAAAAATATACAGTATGAGTTTACCCTCTGCTGGTAACTGATATGATCCTCAGGTGTACCAAACTGACTGGATTTGTCTGACTTTAGCTGTAACAAAAATATCTTGGTTGAGAAATGGCCTAGGAATTAAAGACATGATATTTCACAGCATCAAAGTTCATCACACACAAAATGTAGCAAGAAAAGTATCCCTACGACGTAAACATTGTACCTTCACCGAATTTTCTTCTTCGATTAACGGCGCAATGACCTGGTGTGCAGATGTACTATTCTGAGGTATCGCGATCGGTTCGCTTTTTGTAACACTCAGTCCCATGTATGTCTTACTTTCAATTTCTATTTCGGCTTCAACAGTCTGAAACTTTACAAATAGGTATACTATTTTTCAAGTAGCCCAATTCCTAATCATCCAATCCTGCAAGAGAACTCCATTTTTACGAAACAAATGCAGGACGGTCGGATTTCAAAGCTGCATAAGTTAGCTGTGAATACAACTTATAAACTTTTTATATTATCGTTGGAAATCTGAAAGCTTCATATATATCCTCCTTCAAATACGATAAGAGCGCAAATGCAATATAATATTTAGTAGCTTTATGCCTAGCCACAGTTTCAACGCTGGTGCAGTGTATGCTGACATATCTCTTTGCTCTGATTTCAGAAACAAAGAAAAAAAGATCCCTAAGAATGAGCAACTAAAAAAAAAAATTACCCAGTTAGGGTCAAGCGACAATGTCTTATGGCAAAAACGCTATCATCCTGTTTCGAACTCATAGCACTACTATCGTCAGTCTTGTTTTACTCTTGGGAAAATGTACGATAACCATGACCTACTAATAGTCGATTACCATAGACTTCTTTTTTTGGTAAATTAACAAGAAAAAAATTAGACAAAGCTGCAACTCATGAATATATCTGTGCAGAATCCTTCAGCTTTATCACTCTTTCTATTAAACGGATTTAGTCCAGTGGAACATTTTTACCCAGAAAATTAAAAAAAAGCTGACTGCAAAAACAATCTGATTATTAAATGAAGCACAGAAACAATCCTGAGCAAAGTATTTGCTGCAATTATAACTGTTACCGCTGTATTCTACACTATTTCTACACTACACGCTGTATTCTACGTATTCTACACTATTTTTCTCTATGAATCTTTGACATGTTACACAATACTTTTATGGATTTTAAAAGCAATACCTCATTGTGCGGGGCATCAAAAAGAGATGCAAGTGAGTTGAGTGGCTTCGAAGGAGATTCTTCCACCATATCCAAACTCAACGTAGAGCCAAACCGAGAAGGTGGTGATTTAGCTAGCATTGTTGCGTTTGAAGGTAAAGCATCCAAATTTTCGTCCCCGCTAAAGACAATAACAGATAGCCACAACTAACGAGAAGATAGAAAAGATAAGGGTTAAATTTTTAGGCATTTCGCGTAAGCACTAACCAGAAAATGTAGGGAATTGATTTTCCATGATTAAAATTTTCCGTCACTGTTTGGTATTTAAACTGTAAAATTATTACTATGAGTTATACCTTTCATGAGAAGGTACCTGATAAGGAAAAAAAAGTGGTGTAACTCAAAAATAATTTAATTAATTTTTTATCGCTAAATGAACGAAGCAATTACCTCAACCAATGTGTAGATGGGAAGTTTTTGTTCAAATTTGCAACGTTAATCGTAGCATCCGAGGTGTAGAATGATTCTTCTCTTTTTAAAACTGGAGGAGTCATTTGTGAACCTGATGCAAGTCGTGGATCTCGGACAGAAAGTCGCTGGTAAATAAAGGGATCTGTCACTCTTAGCAAATTTGCTAAACACGGAACGGCCTAAACAACAAATTATTGATACCAACTTAACTGAAATAATCACAGCTCAAATACAAACTAAAAATGACAAAACCATGTGCCATTACTCAAAAAGATCCCAGCATACCTGTCTCAAAGTTCTCAAATCTGCTGGAGTTACAGGAGGCAAGTTTTTGTCAAAATGTGCCAAGCCGTTGGGAGCGAAATTTGGAAAATTATCGAACATGCCCGGAAATAACTGTTTTAAAAAGTGTCGTCCTAATTTTTGCTTAAATACTTCGCGTACAGATGTTTCCTCCGTCACCAAAGCAACACTTTTTTCCATAAATGAGGTAAACCACGATTCAAATTCCTGTAAAAAATAATATACTAATACGTTCAAACCACAATACTGAACTAAGCAAGGTGAATAATTCAGTTTACGAACTGGTTGCAGTACACTTCGGCGAAGGCATTCAGTGAGTGCTGTGGCAAACATTATTGGGCTCTCTTTCACTTGCCGAATGATGTCAAGTCGGTTCCGTAAAGCAATATATTTTTCTTCAAATAAAATTATCTGATTGTTTGTAGTATGCAATCGATCATAAACCTGAAAGAATCATTTTTGCACGGTATAATTGTGCTCAACGAACTGAAAATTTTAAATAGCAGCATGTGGCAGTAAGAGGAGTACAAAACCGTTTTTTTTTCCTTTTCAATACCGATTATTTGACAGTAAAAGTAACCTGCAATATCCATCCCCGAAGCCTTGTTCTGATATTGTTTAGTAACTCGACTTTGGATTGCTGAAAAGCCTTTCCCATTTTCTGCATCTGTTCAATTAGCTTCTTGACTTCCAACATTTTTTCCCGCTGATTCAATACAATATCCTATAAAATAAAGGGCTTATCTTTCGCAATCACTGGAAACGTAATTATACTACATATTCCTTGGAAAGACCGACTTAACAATCAATAGAAGACAAAACTTTTACTCTGGTAGATTGCGAATCAATAACTGGTTGCGACACGGCAAAACATAAATCCTTCAGCAGTTTCGTTTCTTCTGGAACGTTGTTTAATGAGGCAGGTAAATAATTCCTTCTGTAACTACTAGTCTCCCTAATCAAAACAAAAGATTATTGCAAGAACTAATCTTGAAGGACGAAACATACATTTAACAAAATGAAAACATGATGGTACTAACGCTCTTTACTATGGAACATTGCATCCAACTGTGTAAGGCGAGTATTTATACCGCGAATATTACGCATTTCAGGATTACTGACTTTCTCACTAACATATCTCATATTAGATACCACCTGCTTATATTCAGTATCGCTCGTCTGCAATTAGAAGTATGTTTATTTTATAGAGAATAATGTTGAAATTTACTGTATGGCTTTTCGTACTAAGGCCAAAATATTTTAAAAATTGAACGCCGTCTGAGCTTATTAACTTACGATATTTCTGAATGAGTACTAACTGTCATCAGTGATCAATCCCTATACTTAATTCTGTGATCGTCAGTGTCGAAGCATGTATATGGCGGGATGCAAAAAAGTATGTCAGTATCACTTTCTGTGAACGTATCATTAGACAAAAGCATGGAAATACATAACCATTTCATTTATGTTAAAACATGTTGAGAACCTTGGTGAATTATAATGATCCAAAATTCCAAAAAAGATGATGCTAGAAACAGTACCTTAGATAAGAGCATATTAACCTGTTCCGACATTTCCTCCAACGAATTTTGTGGATCTGCACGAGCAATATACTCGTACAGTGTGCATTCTTCAGCAGCTTTCGATGATCCTTGCAATTTGTATGAATATGACAACAAAGCTGAGGGAATTTTGATCTGAAAGAATTCTGTGAAAGAATGTTGTCCTATGAAAGGTGGAAACTATAAATACAGTAATTCTCACACAAGAGAACAACAGAAAACAAAAAAACATGAGTACTAACTTGCTGCAAAGTACGAAGTACGTTGTCGAAATCTTGTAGCAGAGTTTCCGCCTTAATTTTCATTGTTTTCAAACGTTCATAGCGAGATAAAAAACGTTCGGATTTTTTCTCAATTTGAGTCCGTGAATCATAAAGATTGGATATTAGTGCTAACCATCCCTGCAAATGAAAAATTTGATATCCATAAGAGCAGAACTGCTATGTAACAACATAAAAAGAAGTGACAGATGATAGTGAAAACGACAAACTTACTTGATGCAGAAGTTGATGATCTTGAACTAAACGAGCACAAAGCTGCAAACTTCTTTCAGCAACTTTTAACCCCAATCGCCCAGCATCACAGTAGCGTGTAATCAACGGCCTTGATATTGATGAGCTATCAAGAACACGCAGCTCATCGTACAAACCTGTAAATTACCTTTTAATATGAAATAACATGGTTCACTTTTCTTAAAAATACGCAATCGAATTCGATCAAAACCAGACATTATAAAACTATAGCCTATAAAAAACTAATATTCCTAAATTATAAAGCATGTATAACACTTCTTTCGATTAAATATGTCAGAGTGTTAGGATTGAATAACTTTACATGATGCATCATTTTTAGAGATGTCAATTCTAGGGCCTATTTTTGCAAAAGGAGAAAAAACACAAAAATTTTAAAATAATGGAGCAGACACCTTAGGTTAAAACTGGGGACTTCGTCTGTCATCCATTATCTATTCATATTTATTTATTTTTTCCAGTCAACCAATCAATCAATCAATCAATCAACCAATCAATCTATTGGTCTATCCATCTCTCCATCTATTTACCGATCTGTCTAATACCCAGTCTCTCTATTTACTTATTTAATCTATCTATCTGATCTATTCACCTAATCCATCTACCTACCTAATCTATTCATTTAATTTATCTACCTATCTACCCACCTATCTATCTACTAATCTGTATAATCTCTCTTATCTATCTATTCATTCAACCTATCACGCAATCTGTTTATTCAATCTATCTATCTTTCTAATCTCTCTAAAAACATATCATACCCGCGCACAATGTACATAATTCATCACTATTTATCAGCTCCGTGCACTGACTGTCTTCTTTGTATAATTTACGGAACAAAAACAGTGGATTTGACTCCGTACCAGCTCCTTGATAATGTGATACCTGTTTTTCCGATTGCAATCCTTCTCCTCCGGAAACAAGCAAAGCCTGTAAAACTGAGTCCTTTTAATCACTGCGTGCTGCTTGGAAATGCGTTATAGCTATCCGGAAAAAGTAATGCTTGAATCACAGTATCCTTTGAATTTTCTTTATTATTAGAATTTACTAAACTTCCCAAACCTGTGTTCCCATAATGTCTAAAAAACCGAGAATTCAAGATCTAACGAAACGAACCTGTTCCGCAACAGGCACCCGAGTTACTTCTTCGATAACACACTGCAGTTTGTGAACCGAACCAAGTGCAACAGATACTTCTAAAGCCTGCAGAGAACCCTCGTTCACGTAGAAAACGTAAAACATTGAGCCAGTTAGTGAAAATACCTCATGCCCTGAAATTAAATGCACACTAGTCACCAACTGAATATCTCTCTGTACTGTATTTTACATGTGTACTTGCATTCTGTGTCAAGAATATATACAGAAACTTGAAAGACAAGAAAACTCGATGAGCAAAACTACGACTAGAAAAAGATTAAGTGAATAAAAAATACACACAGAAAGTTAGCAACCATGGAGTTCCTCACTCGAATACTTCCCAGTAATAAGGCCTGTACTCCCTTCAGTTCCCATACTATGGGCTGTCAAGATACAATGAGAACAATGAAAAAAATAAATAACATATGCAAAAAAAGGATAAGGTTTTGAGCATAAACCAAGGCCTGAAAGCACGAGGATGTAAATGAAATAATCAAAGGATAAAGTCTGATTATTTGATGAGATTAAACTGTTTTGTCAATATTATCGATTAGTATTTAGCACCTCCATGAAGAGATGCTACAAGCGCAGTCTTAGCATCGGAATAGCTAATATTTGGAGACAAATACACGAACCACAAATAGAAACCTAAAAGACTATCGATCTCAGAGGAACACGAACAACACTAAAGCATCCTGACCCCCGCTTGCATCACCCGAAACAAAACAGGTAACCATGAGAGCGTGCTAGGTCTGTTGCATGCAACATTTCCTTCCAATTCGTTGAATGGGACTGGTCGAGACAACAACGGGAAAGAAAAGCAGGTAATAACCGGTTAACACTAACAGCGCCACCTATCCATATTCCTAACTCCAGTTTCATTCTTCCCAAACAGATTTCCGCTTAAAATTGCTGCTTGAAGTCAGTTCCATTTCGTTTAGATGTTTAGATGTTTAGATGTTCGTATATATATATATATATATATATATATATATA